GCAAACCTCGGCACTATTTTTTATCATTAGAACACTGTCAAACATATTTTGAATAAAATTACTGCCCGTGGAGCCTCATTTCGTCTTCCAAAACATCTTCTTTATTTATCAAATTAAAAATCTTGGCTCACAAACATTCTTGATTTTGGAAATATTTCGAGTTTATCCGCGTATAACCGTCACCCGGTTAGCTCAGTTGGTAAGAGCGTCGGTCTGTCAGAGGGAGGTCGTGGTTAAAGCCTTGGTTGCACCAATCACACATTCAATAATTCTGTAATACGGATGTAATTGCGATGACGTCTCGGTCCATGCCACTTACTGTTTATTCTTTGCTATTCTTTGCAATACTGAATAATACCGATTTTTAGCATTGTATATGACCATATTTGATCAAATATTTTGCCTTCATGCAACAGTTAACGTCAACAGGATGTTAAAGACGGCCACTGAACAGTGACTTAAGCACAATTTACTAAATCAAGTTTTGAAAACAACAACTACAAAACTTTGTTCGCTATGGATTTATTAAGCTAGTTTTTTCAACCAGTAAAATTTGTACAATTCATACAATTTACCTTGGCGAAAAAAGACTTTAAGCTGATGTTACACTGGTCGATTTTTCGCGATACACCGTTGCGCGAAAAACTTGATGCAGTGTAACATGCCACGTACAACAATTTCCGGATTCGGCAACAGTACGCTGCAAGATTTTGATGCTGAATCAAAATCTTGCAACGCAGAATTGCGAATTTTTTGCAAGTTGATTCGACTGAAAATTTGATTTTATAAACATGAAAACTTATTTATGTTGCATTCATAGAATTCTTCATTATGTATATACTACGTGTGGGCAATTATACTTCCATTTCATGCAGACCATGTGTCATTCCCTTGAGCATCATTTCTTTGTTCAACGGTTGCAAACGAGAAGATCATGAAGTTAGAGACAACTAAACAATAAAATCTTATTCTCAGAGAATAGCATGTATCCTCGATAACCAAGGGGTAATAATAATAATTAATGATAACCAATCAATAATAATGATAATTATTATTATAAAGTGAAATTCTTTCGCTCATTCTCGCTCCCAGAAAAAATATTTTTTCAGGGAGGGAGAAAAGAGTGACAGAATTATACCCCTGGGTTAAGTTCCCGAGGATGAATGACATGTGGTCTGAAATGAGTAAACAATAACTCCAGTTAATAAAAAAAGGTCTTTTTACAGGTTATATTAGATTTTTAGTCTCATTTATACCACTAATTAAAAACGTATCGTTTGTTTCACATCACGCCTTGTTCTTTTCCTGGTTGCTATCAAACTGTTCTCTGTTCTTGCTTCCTCAACGAAGTGAAATATCCTTCCACTTTTTTTAAGCTATAGTATCAATATTGCAATATGAAATACTAAGTGATGGATCGAACTAAACAATCTCCCCAATCATGTTCTAAAAGCTCGTGTCATGTTCCTTGCAGTCCATCTCAACTCTAGTAGTCTCCTTTTCAGCTTGCTTGGTCGACAGGTTCGTTGACATGGCGTTGGTGCTTTGTGCGAGAGGGTTATGGAAACTGAGACTATCGTGTCGATTAGAGAAACCTGGCTGGTTTATGTGATCTGCGTTTGTTTCTTCATTATTTATTTGATTCGAGTTATTGGAATAATCCGGCCCAAAGACTTGGTGCCAGCCCTTTACTAATGTGTAGAGAGATAGGGCTAGTAGAATGAAGAGGGCAGCAACTGAGCAGGATAATCCAGCAATGCTTGCTTGGTCCATAGTAACTGACAAAACTGAAAGTGACGAGAAACAGTGTTATATTTTGATACGAAACACAAACAGATCCTACCATGCTCACCTTGCGGTCCGGACCAAGGATTTCCCCCTTCCCCAATCGCCTAGAGCGCCGCTACTTACCAAGACGATGTTGTCGTGTTATTCAAAAAAGGATCAAATTTGAATTTAGATGATGTTATTTTTTCCCTAGTGAAAAACCTCTAAAGCCTAGGAGAGAGCGCTTGCTTTCTTTGCAAACTGGTTATGGTAATTCCGGGAGGCTTATGAGACTTTATAATGTTTGTAATGGAGACGTATTTGCATCGCCCATGATGACTACAATAATAGAAAATGCAAAAAGAGGAAAAAGGGTCGGTGGTAACTTTCTGGAAATGTTATCGCAAGGTACAAAAGTCTTGCCGGGAAACTCAGAGCATYATTATGCATTTTCTCTCCAGTTCCTGAAGGATTTGGCTTTGAAATCCCCAGTTAATTGGATTACAAAAAGACAATGATCGACAGAGACGGCGGAACCGGGGGGGCTTTTTGTGAAATTTTAATACATTTTCACTAAACTCAGCCCCCCACCTTGGTATACAATGTCACTGCTCCGCCGTCCCTGATCGAGTTTTAATACGACACTGAAAATTAGAAGAAAAAAACGACATTTCATGGCTGGAGAGGAAAAAAACTCAAGGGTCACTTCATATTTACCCATTTCGGCAAGTTCTTTGATAGCCTAGACTCCTGAGTAAACAAAACGACTAACAAAACATAGAACAAAACACGGGAAAAAACTCACAAGTCAGATGCATCTAATACTGCTGCTAACCATGAACAAATGCTCTAAGCTCAAAATATGACCATTTAATGGCGCGATGATATCACAGCACTTGAAAAGGTCGATGATGATTTTCCTTCGAGTTGGAACATTAATTATAAAACTTGATTATAAACATAATGTATGTTAACTTTTATTTGTCTTCTAAACGAGGACTAGAGGATGTCCTAAAACGAATGATTGACGACTGAATATTGAAACGACGACAGCAATTCACAAAACGGTCGTTAAAAATAGAACACAAAAAGAAGCAAAGAAAAGAAATGTCACTAGTCCTGGAGTCCTGTGTTTAGCAGTTAGGAAACCTTACTTTTCTAGCAAGCGTTACGGGACTCTAACTATCTCTTCACCGTATGATAATTATTTATGAATTCGCACTGTTTTAATACAAATTTCAGCAGAAAACTGAAAACCAATGCTGTACATTTCGCCCTTGATTGATTTATGAAGTAACATCGTGGTCGACAGCTAGGAGAACTGTTACACTTAAACCGTCCTAAACAATAACATGTTCCATGACTCATTTTACGTACACAAATCAATAATGAAACATAATCTACTGAAAGAGGGTTTACCTTGTTTTTAAGCCTCTCGACGTAGTATTTTTGTTTTTGTTTTCCAGCAAATCTTTGGCGTATGCAACAGCTAGGACTAGTGTCTTCTTAACTAAATCCTGGCTGGAAGACTCGCAAAAATGAAAAGGTATTGAATAACCAGGTCAGCAAACAGACGTTCTGGAAACCCAATATATATTTAGTCAAGCGTCGGTGAACCTGGATAAGTAAATATCGGGAATGGCAAAGATTTCATGGACTAAGGAACGTGCATTTAAGGAATGTAGTCCTAAAATTTGGGGCTTGGGAAACGAGAGCTCATTGCTCTGAGCGGGAACTTTGAATTTTTTAGAAAGATCTTCTATCCTCGGCTCACAAGGAAACGATTTTCATCCTCTTCCTCTTCACAAATGGTTTGAAATTTCGGAAATTTTTACTTTCGTAAAAAAACCTGCCGTCTTCCGTCATTAAATAACATTAGAGACAATTAGAGAAACAAGATTTCTTTGGTACAACTGTTTTTTGTTTCGACAAATGCAAAGGGAAAAAAATTATTTCCATAAGTTATTAATGAAAAGAAAAAAATTAGAAAGAAAGTTTGTAAATCGATGAACAAGATTTTCACCGCTGAGGAATCCGTTTCCTTTCTTGTCCATTCAGAGTTTTCCAGCAGCGCTCTCTTTTATCTGTGATTCTCGTAAGAGACGAGCCATGAGGCTAAGTCAATTACTTGTCCTTTTCCTTGACAACCGGACATCCTGTATCCCAAGCACTCTGCACATGTATGCATTGCCACAGTGATACTTTTTGCACCCAGTCGGTTCGATGGAAACTGTTTTAGAGAGTGGCTATTTTTGGCCATCGCGGATGGATAACAGTTATGGCTGAACTGGTCTAAAGAGCTTTCAAAAATGTCACTCTACACCGACCTAAGCAAGTTTTAAAATTTATTACTTAGAGACAACTTCACATAATATTTAGCATATGATAACTTCCAACCGAGTAGGCTATCATCAAGGGTGTAATATAAACATGCATGGGGGTAACAGATGTGGTGTAACGATGACATACATACATCAAGTCAGTTGTCTTGGTGAAAAAGATTTAACTTGGGAACTTAGTGGATCTTCTCCCTTAAGGTGTTTTTTTACATAATATTAAAATAATTGCAGGTTCTGTCCTTTTTTAGGCTATAAAATAAACAGCTACTTTTGCGTTATGCATGTCACACTACTTGTGAATTTGATTTTACGCAATAGCGCAACAAGATCAACTATCCCAATGTTTTCAGTCAGAATTACCAATTAATCTAATCTTTTTACCATCCTTTACTATTATATTATTTAGGTGGCTGTTCATTTTCCTTGTAAGAAAATGCAGAAATTGCGCAATAGTACTCAGAGGTCAACACGGAACCACCCAATAGTCCTTTGCGGGCATATGATATAGAGATCAAAATGCAGCAAATGTTCTTGTCAGCAGACTTTGCCAGGAAAGATAGGAAAGCATAGCTCTACTTTTTGCGGATCGCTTATATGACTGATAACGTCTGATCGAACTTATACAAGCTTATAAGCAACCGACAAGGAATAGATGGTTTTAGTGTTGAAGATTTAAGGTTACTGGAGACCTTCATGGGTATGCTTCATTTAAGACTATCTCTTCGTAACACTTTAAACAAAACCCCATGAAACTATAACATCTTTGATATCAGAATCCCGGTAGATCTTGGCTTTTTATAGGAGCAAACAATTTACGAAACTTCCTATTTCAGGCCAAGTAGAAGTCTAAACTGCACCTTTCACGCGTACAATACAAAACAATACAAAAGCTACTCCCATAATATATATTTAATACCGATTACTTTCTATAAAACCAATAACATTTCCTTCCAGCTTTTAAAAAAGGTGACGTTACTAACTGGTTAAAAATAGATATGTCTTCTAAAAATACACTTCACCATCTTGGAAGTTTAATTTACTATATAACAGTATGACACTTTTAATATGCGATATCTAATGATTGATATGTTTTAAAGGTAAAAAAGTTTATTTATAGTATAGCAAGCGACTTGTAGAATGACTGTGCGGGGCAATAGGCCCCAACTGGGGCTACTGGGTACCCGTTAAATTGAAAATGTCCATAAAATGTTACTTAGATTAAAGTTCGGAATATTTTCCTCTAACCAAACTCTCAATGGGTGTCGATAATATGTTATCGAATTCCTGTGTCAATAAAGCACTAGGTATATTCTGTTGTTGATCCTGCTTCGATCTTTTATCCGCCACATCAGAGGAGTTCTCTACAGGCGCATAATTGTCCTGTTCATGTTTACTGCCTCCGTTCCTGATTTTTGGCAAATCGATGTCAGGAAGAGAAAAGCTTCTTCTCCAAGAGCGCAAAGGATCTGTGGAATCGCTAAAAGTCTTTCCGCATTCAGGGCAGGAGTTTATGATACTTGATTTAGAGTGCTCGGTATTTTTCGACAGAGGGAAAAGAAACCTTCTTTTCCACTTATCGCTGCTATCTTTCTTTTTAGTGCATGTCATACACTTGTTTTTGGTATTCAGAGTGCYGTTTTCTATTCGAAGTTCAATTTCAGTCCGCTTGGTTAATAAAATATTTGAAATATTTTTCGCTTCGTTTGTCGGAGGTTTTTCGTCCATGGTTAGTTTGCATGGTAAGTAGGATGGTTCGTTAATTTCGTTGTCACCGTTGTCTTGATAGAAGTCGTTTTCGACTGTGTTGTTTTCTTTTGTTGTTTCGTCATTGCTCTTTACCTCCTTTCTTGAGAAAGAAACGTAATATGTTAACTTTTAATATTCTTAATGGCAGCTAAATTGTTTTCGATTTGGTTGGGGGGGGAA